AAACGTCTAATAAGGTATTTATTATCCAACACGCTAAACTGTCATTTCAAAGCGGGCTAATTTCGCGGATATTTATTTACGGGGAGTGCGTGACAGAAGTATGCGAGGCGGAACGGAATTGGCACATTGTTTTGTTGCTGTTTCTATTTTCTTTATTAAATGAAGAAGTTTCCTGTTTGTCAACCTGTTTTTCCTCATTTGATTCATCAAATGAACTTGGATCTATATTTGCCAGCCATTCTGACTCTTCGTCGTCGGAAATATGATTCGAATTGTCCGAAGCGGAACAGAATTGGCACGTTATTGTGTTGCTGTTTCTATTTTCTTCATTAAATGAAGAAATTTTCTGGTCGTCAAGCTGTTTTTCTTCGTTTGATTCATCAAATGAACTTGGATCTATATTTGCCAGCCATTCTGACTCTTCATCATCGGAAATATGATTGAAATTGTCTGCCACTTTTTTTCCGTAACTACAATCCAATTCTTCACTTGTGCGATGTGAGAAAACCAGTTTAACCTGTACTACAATAGATGAGTACAAATACTGCGTGATATTTGTACTCGTCTATAGTGTCATTCGTACTCCTCTAGGTGTAGTTGGATAATAATGTATGATATTCACCCACACTGTAGGATTCTGATTGGCCTTCTTACAAGAGAGTTTATCTGCTGTCTCAATTGTTGGGCCTCCTATTTTCCCTATGTGCACATCTTGTGCTCTTCATTTGTTATTATCATTCGATGGATTTTTTCCCCCCATTTTCATTGGCTGGGAGCCCACCACGTGACCTGCAAATAACTGCCAACAAATAATGGTCTGCTCCTGCTTACTACCGTCTAACTCAGTTTTTGCTGCAAATAATATTCTGCTCATGCGCAGTATTCAGAGATTATATCGACCAAAACAAACAAGGAAACCATTTGATTTCTGGCAGCAGTGTGCGCTTGCCGCTTCCCCCAAAAAATTGAAAGCAAACTCGGTGATCGAGTGATCAAACAATCATTGAACTTGGTTATCGCAAAATATCATGATTTGTTAGTGTCTCGCATTTGATTTGTCAGTGTCTTGCATCAGCCTTTGGCTTCGGCAAATAATTGATCTCCTTGCCACAGACAAATCACAATATTTTGCGATAACTGAGTTCAATAATTGTTAAATATTTAACCCTTTAACTCTCAAATCTGAGGGTAAATTCTCCTCTCTAGCTTCTAGCCATTTCTTTGTAAATTATTAATGAGACATTAGTGTAAGATCAAGTAAACAACTTCTACCTGATAAGTTTGAGTATCCTCACGACCTCTTTTCTGGATAATAATTATATGGATATTACGTGTATAACGAGAAGTTACAAGTTAAACACTTCAGGATTAAAAGAAGAGCCGTGCAGACAAATGAGCGAGGGTCATGGTTGTCTGTGTTGTTTCCAACCATTGTTTGATTAAAATTAATCGGTAATTCTACTTGGAAAAATGCAGTAGTCTCATGAAGTTTTCATCTTATCCCATTAACCCTAATAGTGATAAGCATCTTATTTTTCTCAACAGTATCACCCTTAAATCTAAGATTTTTGTCACAGGAATAAAGGAAATGATCTAACTCAAGAGGCTATCAATTGTTAAATAAATTCTCCATGTAATTACCATTAAGAAATGTCTAGAGAACAGTATGGAGAACTTTCTTATAGATTTGAAGGCATAAATGGTTAATGGGGTTACGGTGTAGTTACAAACACGGAGAGGATTGACTGAATGCATAAAAATAACTGATAACTCCTTCTTTTTCCAGGTTTTTGAATTAAGGTCTGTAGAAGAATTGACTGAGGAATGGCTGAAGGAGAAGATCAAGTTCTTCCGTTAATCTGCAGTACTTACCATTTGTTCACAATAGTTACAAGTAGTATGATTGTAACTCAAGTACATTTTATTCATTGATAATTTGAATTCAATACCTTAGGAGGAAAGTGTTATTAAATATCAGTTGTCAAATTTGTCGCAGTTGTTTTGCACTTTTAATGCCACTTTCTACAAAGCTAAATTTGTAGGTTCAGAATTATTGGAGACTTAATGCAGAGTAATCTAGTTTTATCAACCAAGTTGATATAATTGTATATTACACCTTTGGAGAAAAAAGTTTATTAAATAATTATCAGTTGTCAAATTTGTAGCAGTCATTTTGCACTTTTCATGCCACTTTCTACAAATCTAAATTTGTATATCTAGGATTATTAGAGAGTTAATGCAGAGTAATCTGATGTTGCTTGTCCTCTAAGCAATATCATCCTGTAACAATCCTGTAATTTGACCTTTTAGCCACATTACACTATAATTACGATCTTGGCAAAGTGGAATGGCTTAGTAAAGATGCTGACAAAAACTTAAAAAAAAAAAAAAACACTTCAGGAAAATTAATCTTACAATCTTCAATTCAAACATGGGGGGAAGCACCTACAATTAACTTCTTAATCCTCAAAATCAAAATTGTAATTCTCTTTTCCTGCTGAGTTCCATGCATTTCCTTGCAAGTCAATTCAGAGAATTAATTTTGATCTTCTAATTAGAAATCAGTAAGCTTGTAGACTTGTCTTCACCTATCATTTGGTTGCTAGATATTACATTTATTTAATTCTAGGAGAGATATTGCCTTAATCACCTCTTTAACTCCCATGAGTGACCAAGACAGAATTTCTCCCAAGAATCTCGATACAAAATCAAGTAGACAAGTGACGAGAATAAGGAAATATAATAAATTAGAGGATTGTTAACTGATCCGATATCAAATTCTCCAATCTAGTATCATAACAATTATTGTATAGCAGACAGTAAGGAGAATTAGTATTGAGATCTTGGGAGTGAAAGAGTAACAAAAAACCAAAGATAAAGCAGGTTTGATAATTTGACTCAGATTAGATACTTTCATGGTGCCCCTTACACTAAAGACTATAAAAGTGTACCAGTGAATTAAATAAGGAAGCTAAGAAAATCTCAGGGGTGCTTGCAATGGACTAGCACCCAATCTGAGTGAATAAATAGATACTTTTTGTTTTCTAAGTGCAGCAGAAATCTTGGATAAACATGGGCAGTATGGGGCCCCTCAGCAGTAAGTTGACATGGAAAGATAGCACTGTTACCAAAACAACTTCTTATTGAACATTGGTTCAGAAGATTTATTTACATCTTGTGGCTTGAATTCCTCAAGATAAAGTGTACTGACAAAGAATGCCACAAGAGAGTGACCAACAAGGCACTTCACTACTTAGAATTCTGAATAATCCATTTCCAAGCTCTTAAAACCCCCACTTTTAAAATGGGTTGAGTGCACAAACTTCCTGGGAAAATCAGTTATATTAATTTTTTGCATGAAAGAAAAATCATGTTCAACTCAAAAGCTCTGCACTGAACCTTCTTCAAAAACAAACGCTTTGAGAAGCTGGAAAATAGCCTATCTACAAACTGATGATCAACAAGCAAAGAGGACAACAGTGGCCAGTGGAAACTTCAACCCGTGATATCTAACTATAAATGAAATAGTTTTCTCTAATCTTATCACCTTTCCATGGGTTAAATGGTGCTATGTGAATCATTGAGAAGAATTTTTGTTGCTCAATTTATAGGAGAATTCAAGGATTGATCCAAGTAACAACTTTCACTCAGATATGCAACTCTTGAAGACAGATAACATAATTTAACTCCTTAACTCCCAAAGACCTGATTGCTCATCCTCCTTATTAGTTGTTACACATTTCTTTGGGAATTAGCCACTAACAATAGTTTCTTGTCAGATCAAGATAACAACTTCTACCTGAAAATGCTATACCAGGGATATTGTGGGGAGAAGTTAAATGTTGATCATTTCTGGGAGTTAAAGGGTTTATATCCATACCACTCATCATGAACTCAGCTGTTGGGTAGTCTCTGACCTCCTTATTCACATTTTGGTGACTCAGAGGTAAATGCACATGTAGCCCCTCCCTAGATACTCTCTGACACGATATTTCTAAATCTGGCTTTTGAGCCTTGATCATGGTGCAGGGCTTGACACTAACTTTTCAACTTACTAGCCAAGTGGGTAGTGACATCTTTGATGTTAGGACAATTTGTTTACTAGCCAAACTGGCTAGTGGAAATCAAAAACCACGAGCCAAAACTGAATTTCTACTAGTCTGTGGCTAGTTGGCTGCCATAAGTGTCAAGCCATGATGGTGACCAGCTCAACTCAGTAAAAACTATTACGATGTCAGGCTCTTCCATTTCTCAAATTGCAGGATGTTATTCTAGTGTAACATTCCACAGGGCAGGTCTGTAGGATCCCCTATTGGCTGGAACTGCTGAGATTTCTCGGACCAAGTGTCCCTGGATATAACTGATACCATACATTTAGCTTTCCATAACAAACATTTCAATATTTAAGTTTGTAACATTGTACAGAGCTTACTTAATAAGCATTTGAGCCACATTCAAACTAGAAGGTCAGTGTACACAAGAAGGCAAAGTTTGATAATTATAAAAAAATTAATTCCACCATTATTCACACCACTTCTTGTCTCAACTAATGGTCCCAGAAAGTAAGAGAAGAAATTGAAGCCAAAACATGGCTTTTGAATGCTCCATCAGGCCAACAAGGCATACATCATCCTGAAAAAGAAATGTAACATTACAGTGTTGTCCAACCTGTCTCAGCTTCCTTAAAAACTTGCTGTTGGTTGTAAATAAAAAGAACATCATCATATTTTAGGGAGAAAAGTAAACAAGTTTTTTTTTTTATCTTCCATACACAAAGTATTTGGGATTTAGTACACTGTCTAATTATTTTAACAACAAAAATTAGGATGATGATAAACATTGTTGCAGCTGGTCAATGTGTGGCCATTGCCTGGATTCCCATTCAGGAACAACAATTGTTTTTGTGCATGCAAGGTGGCACCATCTTCAAACGGGGCCATAAGGCCTGCACCGAGTTAAGAAACCTCTCTGTTTTGTTCAGATTTTTTTTATTTTGAACCTTAAATTGCTTTAAACACTGTAAACGTTTAGTGTGATTTCCTCAACACCTTTGTGGATGAGTTTGGATTTTATATGCAAGCATAAAAAGAAATAACAGGCAGTCTTACAAGAGTTTGGCAATTTAGCTTGGTATCCTCCTTGTATAAAGAAGTTCACTCATTTTTTAAACATTCTTTTTGGGATTAAACCCAGTTTGCTAGTATTTAATTAGCTTCTGCTTCTTTGCAGTTTATGAAGATAACAAGCTACATGTATCACTATGATTCAGTTCCTTGTCATAAAAGTAAATAGTTTTACATGTAGTTTATACTGTGACATAACTGCTTTTAAAGCAGTTTTTTGACCAGCTCATCTTCAATTACCCAACTAAGTAGCCATACCCAAAAAAAAAAAAAAATGGTGTCCCTGGTAGCTGGTGTCAAAATAATCCATGCAAGTGAAAGAAAGTCACATTGTACATACACTACTGCTGTGTTGAATTTTTACAGACTCACCTATAGAGATAATAAAAGAAAGACAGCAGAAAGAATGCCATTTTAATCCATCCTTCTTTCTGACAGCGAGACATTTCACTGGCATTCATAACCTCTGTAGGGTCATAGAGGCCTGGAGCACTCATAACTGGCCTGTTAGCATATCTAATAAGAAAAGAATTGAGTCAGTGAACAATATAATTCAGTTAGCACAGAGTAAGAAGTGAAGAAATACTATCTTCATTGTAAGATCAGTTTGATGCAAGCTTTTAGCCGGGACTGGATCCCAAAGTGAGTAGGAGGTTGAATTTAAATATGCTTGTATAGCGAGCACTGCCTGTTGCAAAGCCACATGCCCTTTCTAAGGGGGGGGGGGAAATCCTGGGGTATACTACCCTGGAGAAAATTTGATTTGAAACTCTATAGGCATTCTGGGATATATTTGAGAAACTTTAGTAAGCAAGACATTGATGTTGGAATCAGATCAAAATAGTTTACTTTCTCTCTTTGATCAAAATTTAAAGAGTACCTAGGAAA